AATGGGCTGTTAGGTTTTTAGGTTATGGAATGAACGGCTAATAATGGGAAATTGGCTGCAATAATATATATGGGATATAATGGTTGCGGCAAAGTCAATTAGGGTGAACAAAATCATGGAATGCACCGCCCAAGGAAGAAAATAAATGGGATGGTCACGGCTTGGGAAATTATAGAAAAATATGGAATGGTGGCTGCCCTAAAGGACAAAATATTAGGGTATAAAATAGGTTATGGAATGCACGGGTTATGGCCAGGAATGGTGGGATTAATGATTAGAATGAATCACGGCTTAGGGAAATTATTGGGAATATTAGGGTGAATGTTTTTGGACACAAATGCCCCCCCTTGCACGGCAAGGGAAGGGGAGAAAATAAAAAGGCACGGCAAAGGGTTACAAAGTGGCTAGGGCCTTCGTTTTGTGTCCTAAAGCGCCTACAAGGACTTCAAAGTGGCTAGAAAATACGGACGTTTAAGATTAGGAAAGGTTACCAAAACAGGAAACTTTGGGTTAACTTTCCTAAAATAGGAAACCTTGTTTAAGTAGGATTCCTCGTTTTGGTAAGAATTCATCGTTGGAATAGGAATTCGTCGTTTCTTCACGTCTTCAACTCATTCATTCCTCTTTCGCTCCAAAAGGCTCCAATTTGCATCTTCTTGCACACTTTGGCCTTATAATCTGAAAATACACAAAAGTGGCCTTAAACACTGAAATAGATAAGTAAACACAACATAAATGCACGAGAACAAGCTAATTAAGTCGCATGAATATGCTCCTATCACCCCTTTTGCATTTCCAGCTTCACTCTTCATGATGGCAGCCACATTCTCTCCTAGCTGTCATATTCCCTCTTTTAATCATTCATCCACCTATAAATAAGCATCCATTGCAGCCACAAAACATCATTCAATAGTCATTCATTCACTCTCCATTCTCATTACCACAACACAAACACAAACACTTCCCCTTGGCCGTGACTTATCATTCATTTCCAGGACCATTCTCTTCTATTTCCACCACTCCCCAACCCTCCAAAACACTATCCAACCATTCCTCCATACAAACACCAATCCAAAACCTATCCTTAGACCTTGTGCCGCAACAAAGAGGAGGAGAAGGGCCTAAACGTTCATACAATTCAAGTTTGAGTTGTTGGAATTTTTAGGTGTTTTCTTTTCCTTGATTTCAATGATTAAATTTACGTATCTTTGTTTTGTACGTATGAGGAACTAAACCCCCCATAGCTAGGGGGTGATTCGAAACCATGTTTACGCTTGCAATATGAATTGATTACCTTTGGTTGGAATTTCATGAGTTGTGGATTCAATTTGTTTAACTATTTGATTGATAACCTATTTATGTATGTTTATTGAGAGTGCACGCTTAATTTTCATGCATGAATATGACGCTAGAATATAAGTGAGTTTCACCTAATACTTATGAACTTATATTCACAAGTAGTGGAGGTTGCTTATAAACAATCGCGTTAAGTAAATTCTTGGCATAAGTTTCATGCAATTCATAGTAACGAATGCCTCGTCAACACTTATAGTTTTCATGATGCTTAATGATTCTTGCTTGTATCTCTATTATGCAATTCATGTAGGGAACTTGTGGGGAATGCTTTGGGTTGTCGCATGCAATCATCCAATTCATTAACTTAAGGAAAACTTGACGGTTAATTTAAGCGGACCTAATTAACCCGGGGTGTTGAGTTTCATAATTGATCGAAAGACCAACCGAAAATCATCTTGTATGCAAGTGTAACATGTGTGGAGAAGAACCTTCTAGCTAGCATTCATCCATATTTTCATCACATTCATATTTACATTTTGCCCTTAATTACAATCTGTGCATTTTAGTTCAATTTCGTCAAAACCTCATCCCCCCCCCCCCCAATATTTTGTTTAGTCTTAATCTATCTTATTTTGTGTTTTTAAGTATTTGGAGTCTTGTGGACTTATTTTGAGTTTTCGTTAAGTGAATTAAGTGTTTAAAGATTAGTTTTATTTATTTGAGTCAAGTGTTTAGCACCCCTAGTTAATCCCCGGTTAGAACGATCCCTACTTACATCATTACTACAATTGTCACAAATAGGGTTTAATTTATGTGTCACATTCGTAACGCATCAGCTGCTGGGTTTCACCAATCTTTGTCTGATTACTCATTGTTCATCTGAAGTCGTCAAGGTACATTCATTATCTTATTGGTGTATGTCGATGACGTAATATTGGCAGGGAATGATTTACGTGAGATTGAAAATACCAAACAATTTCCCTCTCACCGTTTTAAACTGAAAGACTTGGGTGGCTCAAATATTTCTTGGGGATAGAAGTTGCACGATCAAAGCATGGAATCACTCTATGTCAACGAAAATATGCGCTGGAGATATTGGATGATGTTGGATTTCTAGGCGTGAAACCTTCCCGGTTTCCTCTAGACCAAAATTTGGCCCTTACGCAAATGGAAGGAAAGTTGTTGGATGATCCTTCCTCATATAGAAGACTTGTGGGTAGATTGATGTATTTGACCATCACGAGATCAGACTTGGCCTATGCCATGCATGTGTTGAGTTAGTTCATGGAGAAGCCTCAGCAACCACATCTTGATGCCGTACACAAGGTACTGAAATACATTTAACAAGCACCTGAGCAAGGTATTTTCTTTCCTTCCATGGGTTCATTACAGTTACAAGCATTTTGTGATGCTGATTGGGCCAAATGCAGAGATACTAGATGATCGATAATGGGTTATTATGTTTTACTTGGGCAAGCACCAATTTTGTGGAAAACTAAGAAACAAACCACTGTATCTCGGTCCAGCGTAGAAGCCAAATACTGTTCTATGGCCACTACATGTTGTGAGATTACATGGCCCAAAAATATCTTAAAGGATTTGAAAGTGAATCACCAACAACTAGTTTCATTGTTTTGCAACAATCAAGCCGCCATACATATTGCTTCTAATCCTGTTTTTCATGAATGAACAAAGCACATAGAGATTGATTGTCATCTAGTGCAAGAAAAGGTTCAAAAAGGAATGACGCGTACAACCTACATACGGACGAGTGACTAGCTAGCTGACATATTCACCAAACCATTGAGTTTGACACAATTCGAAATGTTACTTAGCAAGTTGGGTGTTATTAACTTAGACTCCAACTTGAGGGGGAGTGTTAAGGAAGGAACCTCAGATTGATTACTCAATATTGTGAATTAATATTTAGTTATTCACTTTCTTGTTTAGTTTTAATTAGCCTTATTTGTAGGCAATAGAATAGGATACAATCGTTGTAGTCTTTGTACAAAGTTGTAATTCCTGTTTGATGAATATACATAGAAATTCATTATCCTACTCTACGCTTCTTATGAAAAAACAATACGAAAGATGGATGTGTTTCATATTTTTCATGTGTTATATATCTCTATCATTTATGTCACATTCTTTCATGTGTTTCATGACTTTCCTGTTCAACGACAAAGTATTTAACAACGAAGATTTCTAAATCATATTATAAGCCATTTTATTTTAAATATCTTGGTTACGTCAGTATTAATTCTTTCAGGTGAAGTCCAATTCATGTTTTAAACCCAATTTATTATGATCTCTTGCTTGTTTTTCAGCCTTGAGACAAGGACGATAAGGTTAATTCGTATTTAACAAGAGTGCTATTATGCTCATCCATAGTTCTATTCTCACCCGACTTATGTTCCTAAAATATCCCTAACAGTTTTTATGCTCTAAATAAAAATAAATAAAGAATGATTGAATCTTGAAGATTTAAGAAAATGAAACGGCCACAAACATCCCTTCCAACCCAACTGAAAGCAACCACAATTAGGCACCAAATATGATGGTGACGGCTCCTTTTATATTTGCCGCTGGAAAAGTACTTTCCTTTCGTTTTCTTCTCCTTTCTCTGTTCCTCTCTTTTTCTTTCTTTCTCCCCTTACCGAATTTGGATCTAAGATTCATATTCATAGTTATTTTCAAATTCCAATTCAGAACTAAGGGTTGAATATAGGGAAAAAACCAGAGATATAATTTGGGGTGGGTGGGGTGGACGGAAGAGAGAGAAATGGAGGGAGGCAAAAAAGTTGGAAAGAGTGATGGATGAATAGACAACATGGGGAGGTTTGATTCGTTTCTTAGTTCAAGTTTTTTTAATTTTTTTTTACTTTTTTTATTTCACTACAAAGAATATATAAGAGGATTAAGTTTTAATATAGCTTTTGAATTCATTTTACATAAAGTTAAATTTGGTATTCAAATTTTTATTAAAAAGTGAGTGGAAAGACAAAACTATGAAGTGTGCATAGCAGCACTCTTAGTTAAAACCATAACATAATCAAGAGCAGTAAGCACCATAAACATAAGTACCCCTCAATCCTAGTTAATAGAAACACACCCAATCAATCACTTTAAGTTCTTAGAGGGTCCAAGAGAAAGATGGAAAAGAAACTTCAATCCTCAATTGCGATTAGTAGCGTGCATGATTCTGTCATATGTTAATTTTTTTTTTTTTTTTTTTTTTTACAAGTGGTAACGTTAGTGGATTACATTGTTAAATATTAAAGAGAGAAGAATTGATTAGGATTGAACCTGCACGAAGACTAAAAAAAGGAATAACAAGCATTTGTGAATGTGATGGATTAGTTGTCTTGTTAGGCTTACTTAAGATAAGACTCATTCATTGATGATGTTATGTTTGGTCCCCAAATTTAATCCGTTTTCCAAATAAATCTATTTCTAAATGATTGATTGATGACCATGTCAAAAGAAAGAATATATTCCAAACTACATGCTTGCTTTATAAGTTATAAAAGAATATATTAAATCATACAAATTACTATATATACTGCATGAGGTTCTGCTGAGCTAGCGTGTGATTAAGTTAAAAATAATATTGGTGTCGAATCATAAGATTTGCCAAATCTTTTGCTTTTCTACCTAAAAAGTGGAAACCACAAATCTTAGCTTTTCTCTATATATTTAGTGACCCTTTGCTCTACAAACTCATCAAGCTTTCAAATGGAAGGCAATCTTACTCGCTTTGTACTATTATTGGCTCTGCTTACTCTCCAATTATGCAGTGCTGATGCATCTCCTAGCAGATCCAACACTCAGTACATAAGAACATCGTGCAGCGTCACAACCTATCCGAGGCTGTGCTACAACTCGCTCTCCATCTACGCCGGAAAAATCAAGACCAACCCGGAAGCACTAGCACACACTGCTCTTAACGTGACCATTGCAGCTACCCAAGAAACATCTGTGATCATGAGAAAGCTGTTGAAAATCCACGGCTTGAAACCCATAGAGGCTGCAGCAGCGCTCGACTGCGTGGAGGAGATTGGTGACGCTGTTGACGAGCTCCAAAACTCGATAGATGAATTGAGTCATGTGGTTAGGGGATCAAATTTCTGGCTTCAAATGAGTGATATCCAAACATGGGTTAGTGCTGCATTGACAGATGAGGACACCTGCATGGATGGATTTGATGAACATAATATGAGTGGAAGGGTGGAGAATCTTGTCCGTAGGTACATAGTGAATGTTGCGCATCTAACTAGCAATGCTTTGGCGCTAATCAACAGCTACGCCTCGGCCTCGACTGAAGCGTTGTTGCCGTAGATTCTGTTTTGTTCTCAGGAAAGGAATGGCGGAAACGGGTCACTTGGTACTCAAGAAAGAAAGAAATATCCGAATATTTGGTATCTGAGAAATTGCTTTTAGTTCGTGTGTGTGAGCGAGTGTTACAGTAAAGAAGCAAAACTCTTTATTTTTTTTCTTATGGTTGGGGTATGGAATATGGAAATGTAAATACTGCACCTAGATGAATACGAAGCTGTATTTATTTACTAAATTTAATTGGATTGGAAACTTAAAGGTCATAATTGGATTGAAAACTTATATAATCAAGAACATGAATTCCTTTATTCTGCAAAAGGAAATAGTGATTCCTCATTTGATAACCATTTCGTCTTTTTTGTTTTGGTTTTAAGGGCTTGTGCTTTAAATATGCGGATGCATATGGAGAGAAGGATGGATCAAGAAGGGTGGTGAGTCTTGAGACTAAAAACAAATTAAAATAGTTTTTCGTTTTTCGCTTTTAGTTTCCAATGTAGGGTATCCTTCCTTATAAATTTCTTCAACATTTCTCCCACAATCCTTCAACCCTTCTCCTATATCCCTCATTGTCTTGTATGTATCTACCTTCTATCTCTAACACAAAAATAAAAAAACTAAGAACCAAAAGGTAATCAAACGGGTGCTAAATTGTTAGATTAACAGTAAACAAGAACACATGGGGTGGACCAACCAAAAACAAAAAACCAATTCATCATAATCCTCATACATCAACAAATGCACTAACATTTACCTTAATAAAAGCAGAATTAGTAAATTAACATGCTATCAGTAAGAAATTAAACAGCATCACATAACATAAATAGATAATTCATCAAATAATTAGCATATAATAGCCTTTGAAATTAAACCAAATTTATAAAATTTGGAAATGAAACGTATTTACATGGAATTTAAATTTAGGAATTGGAGGTCCCAAATTGCAAGTTTTTTTTTTTTTTTTTTTTTTTTCACGCGGAAATTCTCAATTTCTATATTATGAATCCAAATCAGGAAATTAGTGCATGTCAATTCATAAATTCGTACTTTTGTCAAAATTCCTCATTTATATCTCTCATCCAACCATAGTGTTACACAAACTTTTCTTTTCTTTTGGCAACATTTAGAAGTTTATGGAAAGAGGTTAATTGAGAGAAATTTTTAGTTGGAGAGGGATATATTTTTTATCTTAATTGAGGAGATAAATTGTTTCAATTGATTGATGCTAGAAAATATCTAAACTACATATTAATAGAGTTCTAATTGTCAATAAAAACAAGGAAATTATCAGTATACCCTTTTATACTAATTGAAAGAAAATATTATAAAGGGAAAAAAAGTGGGAATTAAAGTAATTCCACACAAATAGGCCTGGCAAACGGGTTGTGTTACCATGTTTCCTATCGTTTTCTTGTAACACCTGTTACCTTAACGGGTCATATCGTATTACACCCGTTATCTTAGCAGGTCCTTAACAAGTCGAGTCACTTTACCCAACTAATAAAATAACCCAACCCGTTATGACCCGTTAAGAAAATATATATATATATATATATATATATTTTTAAATTTGCACATACCACGTTGTCACATAAATATTACTTCAAAACATAAAAACACATTTGTCGTTAAGTACTACATCTACACTCCAAAATAAGAGCCTAATAAAAAAGCACCAATACACTCCTAGTCTACTACAAAATATCAAATGTGCAAGGATATGCAAAATGAAGAAGTTTTTCTTTTAAAGATTGTGAAGCCTTTCTCAGAAACCTTGTCAATGAAACTCACAACTTGCATGTTATTCTTTCTACAAAATTCTTCAATTTTCATCGATCATTGATAGGAGCATATTTATGCGACTTTTTTATCTTATTTCTTTGCATTTACTTAGTTAATTTCCATTTATTATAGTGATTTAGTTTATTTTCATATTTGGTGAAGATGACAATAAATGGCCAAAAGGAGCAATTTGGAGCAGTTTGGACTTGGATTGGATAGCATGTGAATGGAGTATAATGGATGGACGTTTTCGGTGTTTAAATGATGCTAAAAATGTGCTACAAATCTGGAAGAATTAGATTAAGGCTTGGAAGATAAGGAATCAGCTGAAAATAAGGAGATCTTATCCAACCTTATCTTATCGTATCCCATATTATTCAAACATTATCCTATTTAATCCAACATTATCTAAACTCATCTCCAGCTGCAATAGGAGTCCTTATCCTATTCTAACTCCTTCCGATTTGAATTTAGGAGTCCTTATCATGTTTTACAATGCATATCTGATTCTAGAAGTCCTGAAAGCATGCAAATAACCTAATCCTTCTTTTCTTAGAATTGTGTCATGCCCTATCCTTGTCCTCCAAGGATTGGTGCCGTGAACCCTACCCTATAAATACACACTTTGTGCCGCAATCTTCAGAGGAGATATAGAGAGTTTTTAGAGAGAATTTTAGAGAGAAAAATACAAAGAGTGCCGCAGCTTTGCAAGGAAGGAAGGAGAAGAAGAAGCTTGGAGCCGTGCCTACCATCCAAGGCCATTGGAGTGCTGGAGCGTTTCTAGGTGTATTCTATCCTTAGTTTTAGTCCAATGTTTGTTTTAATTTGGTTTCAGTTATGATAGACATGTGGAACTAATTTCGTTTTAGCTAGAGGTGAATTCAAAGCCATGAACATATATGTGATATGAGTTGATTACATCCAATTATTGTTTCGTAAAACATGAATGTGATTTACTTATCTATTTGATTGATAACTTATTCTTGTATGTTGATTAAGGATGCATACATAGTTTCCATGCATGAATTTGATGCTAAAATATAAGGGAGTTTCACCTAATAGTTATGAACTTATATTTACAAGTAGTGGAGGTTGCTAGTCACAATCGCATTAAGTAAATTCCTGGCAGGAGTATCATGCAGTTCATAGTTACGAATGCAATGCCAATGCTTATGATTTTCACAGAACTTAATGATCTTTGATATGTATCTCTATTATCCAGTTCATATACGGAACTTGATAAGAATAATTTTGTTGCATCGCTAAGTCCAATTAATGAATTTAGGAAAATCTTATGGTTAATTTGTACAATTCACGGTTAACTTGGGGCAATGTCATTCATGGTTTATAGGAAAAATAACTGGAAATCAATTTGTGTTGCATATGTGTCATGTGTGGAGAAGGACCCTCTAGCTAGCCTTTCACCCTTCAATTCACCCAATTTCGTGTAACCTTTAGTTTGTTTCTGCAACTTATTAGTTTTAAGTTAATTTTCGTCCAAACAAACCCATGGTTTGAGTCAATTTAGTTTGATTTTCGTCCAAATCACCCCTTAGTGCTTGTTTTGAGTTATTTGAGTTAGTTTAGTTTGTTTTGAGTCAGTTTAAGTTTAGTTTTCTGTTTTTGAGTCTAGTTTAGTGATTTAGAGTTTAATTTGTGTAGATTAGCAACCCTCCTAATTCCTGGCCTAGAATGATCCCTACTTTCACATACTACAACTATCAGAAAATCCGAAAATTTTGAAAAAAAAATTTTCGAAAATGCTTGAGAAAACACCAAAAAGAGTCGTTTTTTATGCTTGTTTGTTTCTAAGGGTACCTTCCAATACAATGATGAGGATTTGGTTTTTAATTGCATGACTATTAAAGAAAGTTACAAACATGGGTAGAAGTTTGATATGCTCTTTGGTTTATGCTTAGTTGTAGTTGTCATTTACCAATTCACATGTAATCAAAAAGAGAAAAAAATCAGTTTTTGTAACATTATTGATGGAAGAAACTCAAACTAACACTACAACCCTGAGAGACTTGAGCCTATACTTTATTTGGAGAGTTATTAATCTGTGATGTTTTTGTTATCTAAAGTCGTTGCATGATCTCATTATTTCTTTGCTTGGTTGCTACTTAGAATGCGTTTTCATCATTTTAGTTCCAAATAGTAGAACTCATGCCCGTTTCATTCAAAGCATACAATTGAGTGCATAACAAATAATAAGATGAAGTTGTTTAGTTAAACCAGAGCCAAAAAGCCTTATCCCTTGCATATGTATTGTAGGTTTAACCTCTTCGAGCCTTAGTTAGCCTATTTTCTTTGTTAGCCACATTATCCATACCTAGCCTAGAATAGGACTATCCATACCCTTATTCTTAAAGGATAGTGGAGCATGACTTAGAGGGAATTCCTTTTGATCTATAATTTGCAAAAAAACAAGTGTGGGGGAAGGTTTTTCGTTGGAAATCTATGAGGATGTACATTTTGTGTGCCAAAGAGAAAAGGCACGAAAGAAAGAAAGAAAAAAAAAACGTGGAAAAAGAAAGAAAAAGAAGAACAAGTTGAGAAAAGAAAGGACAAGAGTTGAGAAATAAGTGAGAATGAACTCACAAGTATTGGTTGTTGAAGAAATGGTCCACAAGTTTGAATCCGACCCTAACTATTGTGTGAATCTCCCATAGGTGTTTAAAGTTGATTTTTGCAATCAAAAGTTGAATTCTAAGTGTTGATTTCATTACTTTGCTTACTATCACTTTAAAAACCTTTGTTTATCCTTAACCTTTCTTTGTTAGCCAATACCTTAGTCCCGTTACAACCCTTAGACTTCTATCTTGATTGTTATGTGTTTCAATATGTGGAGTTTGAAATTGGTATGAGCATATGGGATCCCTGGTTCTCGCTTCTAAGTAGTGGCATTCCGTTCATGAGATCATATACATGTTTGTATTATAATTCTAGAAAGTGCCTTCTTTGATATAATATATGTGAGTGCTAGTCTACATGTTTACATCAATCTTCTCACATATATTTAGTATAGGGAGTGTAGTCAGAAAATCTGTGTGAAAATAGAGAGTATATCCAGTGAGGAATTGAGTGAATTCTCTAAGGCATGTTATTACATTGAAAATATTGTTTTAATTGATTAAATGCGAGCTAGTGAGTGGTGACTGCGGTTAAGTATAAGCTCGAGGGTAAGGATGGCTAAAATTTATGTGGATAGTGATTTTTAATGTCATGTTTCATTGGAAATCCCTGAGGCAATTGTTTGAAGGTCTAAGTTTTATTTTGTTTTCTTTGTTTTGCTCAAGGGCTAGCAAAAGCTAAGTGTGGGGGAATTTGATAGGAGTATATTTATGCGACTTTGTTATCATATTTCTTTGCATTTACTTAGTTAATTTCCATTTATTATAGTGATTTAGTTTATTTTCGTATTATTATAGGTTCATTTAGTGAAGATGACAATAAATGGCCAAAAGGAGCAATTTGGAGCAGTTTTGGACTTGGATTGG